ATGCTCCTTTCACACCTGTAGAATATCATGTTGCCTGACATTCCCTTCTGTAGCACTTCTAATCCTCTCGGCTCTGGGCTGTGTAATTATATACACCTCTTTTTAGCTCTGTCTGCTACAGTCCCACTGTTAGACTGCCATCTGCTTCCTCCTCACCTTCCAGTGACCCCTAAAGTGGTCTTTACCTGGAAGACGGCTTCTCAATGTCGAGGCAGATGCATTAGATGCCATCACGGGCTCGTCTGTGAGAGGCTGTGGGTGTGTGGTGAGTTACCTGTGGGGCGGGTCCTCATGGTGAGTGGCTGAACAACCCCATGTGATGTGGGGACTGGGAGCAGAGAGACAAGGAGCACATCTAGCTGGGCATGCCCTGTCCAAGCTGATGGTCACTAGCCACGGCCACATGTAGTGACTGAAATTAAAATGATTGAAAATAATGAAAATTCTATTCCTTACTTATACTAACCACATTTTAGGTCCTTAATAGCCACTTAGGACTATGGGCTTCCAGTTTGGACAGCATAGATTTAGAACAGTTCTTTCACCCAGAAAATTCTACTGAACAGTGTGGTTCTGAAGTGGGCATCCTGAGAAACAGGCCTCCTGAGGCCCTGCAAGACTACCAGGGGGAAAGCAGAGCCCTGTCCCCTTGGCCAACATCAAGTAGGCAGGGAAACTGGCTCAGGTTCAGAGGAAGACATAGGGCAGGGCAGTGCCTAGCAACCCGGGGTGTGCCCATCAAGTAAAGCATCCCCAGTGCCATCCATGGAGGGTGGTGTCATCTTTCTGGCCAAGAATAATCTTGGGAGAACCAAAGCCAATGGGAGCCCCCAGGAGACAAGTCTTGTCCTGAGCACTTTACCTGGATTATCCCATTCAGCTTTAAGGGGAGATAATATCACGGCATCAGAGAAGGGAGTCAAGCCGTCAGCTCTTCTTCATTGCTGCGTACTGCCTTGAGGTTGGGCACGAGGGGCCTGGATGCTGGGGAGCTGCAGTCTGCGTTCCTGGCGGGAACTTGGCTGGAATCAAGCAGGTCCCATCTTGGTGTTGGGGCCTGGTCTCTGCTTGTCAGTGAAGAACATAAGGCAGAGAGGAGCAGGGTGGGGACTGAGCAGTCCTAACTTGGGGTGAAGGTGCAGGAGGAGGGACCTTCTGTGGATCCAGAAATGGGGTGCAAGTCCTCTGAGGGTAGGAGCATGTGGTACTGGTTCTGACCACGGACTCTGTGGAGTCACTGGGTCCTTCTCTAAACTCCAGCTTTGCCATTTATTACTTTGCATCCATCTGAGGCAACTTGAGTTTCAGTTTCCTCATCTGTAAAATGAAGGTGATCAAATAGCAATTACAATTATCGTCATTATCTTTGTAGCCTCAGGTGAAGATTGTTCTTAACACAAGCAGGCCCTCAACAAGAATAAAACGGAGTTGTCATCTAGTTATGAGGGCTGGAGGATGTAAGGGCGGAGCGAATGTCCACGTGGATGAAAAGAAAGAGACCTACTCAGGTCTATATTAGGGCAGTAATTATGTAAATTATAAGATATTTCTGGCCCATGAAGTCATTAGTTTAATCTTGTTGCTGGAAACCTCAGAGATCTATCCACTTACTGTAAAACCAACCACTTGATACCACAATTTTGTGACCCCTGGATTTATCAGTGTTGGGATCTATATTTACCTAGTTATTTACTTGGCTCAGGCTAGAAATTGCCAGATTACTGTGGTCCTTTGTGGGGGTAACCTGTGGTATCTATTCACTCGGACTGTTTTAAGACCATTTAGTTAATTCGGTTAAATTATCAGTTTCTTTGAAAATACTCAGTTTCCAAATATGCAAACACTATTTGAAATTAGTTTATCTGTGTAGTCCAAAGAGTTGGCACAGACAGTCATCTTTAGGATTGGCCAGGCTCAGTCTGTCTGCCTGGGGACACTGGTAGACTTTTGGTAGAGAGATGATTTTATCCTGTGAGGCATATCTTAAGAGTTAAATTCATGGTCAGAGGTATTGTGATCAAGGACACTACCACTAATAGCATTGTCAACAAATATTATTGGATATCTACTATGAATGTCGACTTTTACCACCCACTACCAGTTAGCCAACGTATAATCCTAATTCCATTCCCAAATTAAACACAGATCTGATTTCCAGTGAAGCCATCTGAGATTTACTTATTAAACCACACAGCCTGATGGGCAGTTACCACATTGCACTTCTCAGGAGTTAGTTTCTTGCAATGGCTCCCTCAATTGAGGTCTTCAGGCAAAAGGTTAAGGTCTGTGTTTTGTTCAGCTTGTTTTTGTTTTTTGTTTTTGGTTGCTGTGACTTAAAGACCCGACCAGGACAATTGTAGAGGAGGAATTAAGGGCTCATGGTTTCAGAGGCCTCAGTCCTTGGACAGCAGGCTCCATTCCTCAGGGCTCCAGGTGAAGCAGAACATCATGGCAGAAGAGTGTGGGGAGGGAAGCAGCTCACATGGTGATCAGGAAGCAGAGAAAAAAAGATACAAAACATATACCCCAGAGCCAGGCCCCGGTGCCCCACCTCCTCCTGCCACACCCTACCTGCCCTCCATGGCCACTCACTGAATTCCATCAGGTGATTAATTCACCGATTGGGTTAAGGTTCTCATAACCCAATCATTTCTCCTCTACACCTGTTTGCATTGTCTCACATGTGAGTTTTCCAAGCCACGACAGATGACATATATCAATCCTGCCTCCTGTGGGTTTTGTGTGTGTGTGCGTGTGTGTCTGTATATGAACATACGTGAGAGATAGAGACACACCTGTACCAGGACTCAGGCTTGGTGTCCACATGAGCTGCTGTCACACAGTCTTGTCATTTTGTGTGACTGGGTAGATTACTTCCATGAGGAAACCCAGGCATTTTAAAATCATAGTCACTATTTGTGTGGCCCAAAGAAGCAGTTCCCCATGTCTGCCCTGGGATCCCCCACCCGAGAACTGGAGCCCCTGATCCTGAGCAGGGGTGTGGGCTGCAGACACTGATGTTCTGTGTCGGTCACCAAGTGGTGGCCCACCTTGTTGGCATCCTGTTTCCTTGCAGGAGGTTACTCCTGGATCTCTCTCTCTGAATCCCAAGGTTCCTTTATCATTCTCCCCGCCTCATCCACAACAGGCTGTGGTCTAGAGGCCAATAATGTCTTGGGTCTCTTGACAGAAACTTTTTATTCTCCCTCTGGAGGGTGCTGCTCATTTTCCTGGGCACGTGGGATGACTTTGCTTCCTAGAAACTCTGCACTCAGGTGGGCCACAGATTAACCCACGACATACTAAGCGAAATGGAATAAAACAGACAAAACAATCTCCCTCCATCACATTTTACAGCCTTCTAGAAGGATGAGTATGAGTTTTGTCCTGGGTTAGCCTATTTCTTCTTCCCATCCAACCATCCCTCCCTCCATCCACCCAACCATGTTAATTGAGTACCTGCTACACATATGTAGTACTGTAGTCAATTGTGTGTGTGTGTGTGTGTGTGTGTGTGTGTGTGTGTGTGTATGAGAAGGAGAGGGCATGTGTTCATGTCTGGTTAGGTTGACCAGCTGTCCTCCGTTTTCCTGGAGAATGAGAGATTTCCTGAACTCAAGACTTTCAGTGATAAAAATCTGGAAAGCTCCAGGAAAAATCAGGAGGTGTTGTTGTTGTGGTGGTTTTGTGTGTGTGTGTGTGTGTGTGTGTGTGTGTATGTGTAGAGTGTCACTTTAAGAAATTCTGGCATGGAAATATAGGATGATTTGCAATGAGGAAACACAAAAGGTGGTGGGTTAGGAGAATATTGTAGTGGTGGATATATGAGGAGATAAAGCTTAAAATGGAGAGACAGGATGAGGAAGGAATGGGAAAGAGGTTGATAGCCCTCACTGATGTGAAGCAAAACCCAACAGCACCCCCGAATGGTCAGCTACATTCCAGATGCTTGCTTGCATTCGCTTCTTGCATCACAGTGAGCCATTTATTAGCCATAAAAGATGTTAAAGGGACAGAGTCTCAGAAGTTCCTAAAGATTTTATAAACAGCATATAAAGTTCTAGCTTTCTGCCTTCTTTCTCTCTTAAGGAATCATCTTCTTCATCGGTTTGGAAAAGAAGATGGGCATAAACAGGGTTTAGGTTGTCTCTCACTAGCTCCCGGAGTAGGGACTAGTGTCCTGTAGTCCTCTGCCAATCTCCACCCATGCTTGTCCCTGCTGGCAGTGACGGGACACTGAACCCTTGCTGGGATGCTGCTCTGTTCTCATTAATGGCAGTGGAGGGATGAGATTGGCAGACACCATGCATCCTGTGCCTGCCCTCTCCTTTATTCTGCAAAGTATGACTATTCCATGCTCTTCAGGAGCTTCTGAATTGTGTGCAGGATTGAGGTCTTACAAACAGGGCACATTTTAAAATCGTGTGCTGATTATTAAGAGTCTCATCCTAGGGAAAAGCTTGCAGGTGGTGAAAGCTTCCCATGGAATTGGTCTCAGGTGGGCATCCCCACTGCCCGACACCAGCCCTTTCTCTTAGGTCAAGGCCTCGCTGAGCACAATCTTTCTCTGTTGTGTTCTCTGTGTTCAACTTTTCAGATAACCTCTGCCACCCCCAGGATTGACCTCTCTTCTCCAAGTAGGTCATTTCATAAGTTTGAGTTATTGAGGCAAATCACCCCAGAGCATGGCTGCCGTGGTCAGTGCACAGTTGCCCTGTGGTGTAGTGTATTTGGTATAGTCTGGGACACAGTGGGGTGTGTAGAATTGGCAGACTCGTGATACTCTAAGCCCCGTGGTGTAGTCTATGGAAGTCTCCACACCAGTGTGTTTTATCCCTTTGATTTTCACTCTTCTGATTGTCCAGTTAGCAATCGTTGGAATTCTCCCAGTGCCAGATCTCACAGACACATGCACACCCCTCCCAAGGACCATGTGACTTCTCAAAAGTCGTGGTAGCCGAGCATCTCCTTCATATGGGGCTCATATGGGGCTTCTGTCTACCTCCTGTGGCATCCTTTCAAATCATGGCCCCTCCAGCCTGCCAGCAACTTGCTTAGTCCTGAGCCTTACGAAAACCTTGGGAAACTGGAATTATCATGTATCAAGAGCCAGATTATGTTCTCCGGGGCCATCTTCCTCTCCTCTCTTTCTGGGAAAGGGAGTTGATTTGGGTTGATTCCTCCAGGTTCATAAGTCATGTCGGTTCACCTTTATCATCTCCTCCCAGATCTGATTTTAAAGAATCGCAATCCTGGTCTTGTTAGAAACTTGGTTACGTGTTTTGGGCTCAAGTTCAGCCTCATAACTTGACATAATTCCTCAAAACGTATTAAACGGTCGGTCATTTTATTGGCTTTCGTTTACCAACAAAACAGTTCATCTGAGTCACAAACAGTGACAACACCCGTGTTCAGAGAAAGGAGTCCTTGGGTCTCTTAGGAAATGATTCTTTAACTGCCAATGATCGATCAACCCCCTTCACAATTATCCTAAGACCCATTATCCATTTTAACCTAAGAGGAAAGAGCTCCCTTTTGTTCATGCTTCATGGAGTAAATAGAAATTAGCTGGAAAACAAGCTTAGGGAAGATTTCGAAATGGGAAAACGGTGGTCTTGGGATGTGGGTTTACGGTATGCTGCGAGACGCCCCTCTCTGTTCAAATTGTGAGTTGGAAAGAGAGTTCCGCTGGCTGATCTGTGCGCAACTGAAGTTTTGGCTTAAAAAGGAAATCTGATCTCTGTCTAAGTGGCACTCACGTGGGGGCTGGGAGCCGCTACTGTAAATTCCTGGGAGGGTTCATTAATGCCGAGAGCCTCCTGGAGCCCGTGGATGACCTCTGAAATAAAAGCAAAACCAGAAAAAGATAAGACTTCACGCACGATCTACAAGGACTGTTTCTGGTGATCTTCAAGATATCTGAAGTCAAGTGTACTTAGGGCTGGAAACCAGGAATGGGGTAGGGAGGGGGAGACCACCCAAAGTCTTAATGATACCACACAATTGATTCTTGGCTTTTTGAAATTCTTTGGCTAATCTCTTTCTCTCATTTTTTTTTTCACTATTATGTTTGCTGGGAATAGTTTTTTTTACTATTTTCTGGGAAAAACAAAATCCAGACTTCTGCTTTTGGAATTATGATGTAGGCAACTAGGCTCACGAACGGCAGATGGGAAATGCTAAGGTCAGTGGCTCTGGGAACCCCATTGTTGGGATGTCAGACCATTTAGTGAGATTCTGGCCTGGTTTGGGCTGTGGGGTTGGGGATGTACAGGGACAAGGGCTCTGCTAACTATCTTCTGGTAGTTCCATTATAATATCAAAGCTACCCCAACACCAGGGTCTAATCGTTTTAAATCACAAATTGACATTCTGGGTTTGTATTTCAAATTGAGTATAAAAAAAATCATGACATTTTTCTTTTCTGAACTACTCTATTGGTCTGCTCAGGCTGTCATAACAGAATACCACAGGAGCAAGGCCCACCTGAGTCTGGAGCAAGGGTTTCCTGGGTTTGTGGGGGCCAGAGGAATCCTGAAACCATGGATCACCCAAATATGCTTTGAGACCATATTTAAATTTTTTTTTTTCCTGGAGGCCTGCAACTATCCTAAAAATAGAAAGTAATACAGAACAGACCCATGACCAATGGTGGTGGCGGCTACCTAGACCTATGCTGTATGGTATTCTGGGAAAACCTTCTCAACTTGTTGGCTCTACTGTTGAATATGGTGGATCACATTTGTGGTGGTACAGTGAGTTCTGGATCATAAATGGAGCCTATGATAGAAAATTCAGATATTATTTTTGCAGAAAGTCTTAGCCAACATTTTTATGGTATCCAATGAGGTGACATTGTGATCAAATCTGAAATATTTAAAAGCCAATATTTGTAAAAAAGTAATTGGTTTGGAAGGAGACAAAATACGCAGCATGGTCTATCATAGTTATGGGGCAAGGGATCATGTTTGGTAATCTGCAGAACTCTACAAATTCTGGATACTATGGACTGATTCCATATGGACGAATCTTTAAGATTTAGCCTCTGAGGGATTTTGGGTTTCTACATGGCATCCCTAATGCTGTTTAATTTAAAGATGCACCAACATGGCTATTGTTATACATTTTTTATTTAGAGTGTATTTTGACATACTATACATACATGGGAGTGTAACTTATTCTAATTAGGATCCCATTCTTGTGGTTGTACGTGATGTGGAGTTACACTAGTCATGTATTCATATATGAACATAGGAATGTTATGTCCAATTCATTCTAGTGTCTTTCCTATTCCTATACCCCTCCCTTCCCTTTATTCCACTTTTTCTAATCCAATAAGCTTCTATTCTACCTACTCCCACTCCACCTATTGTGTGTTAGCATCCACATATCAGAGTGAATATTTGACCATTGTTTTGTGAGCCCCAACAGAAGCCAAACAGGGTGAGCGATGAGATGCAGTTCTAATATGTCACTGATGGGGAGGTTTAAAAGGATAAGGCTGCACCACGTCCACATGGACCTGCGCATGCAGCCGGTTGCCATAATGTACGTCCCCCGAGTTCTGAATAAATAACCAGGAGATTCCAACTGTCGTAGGAAGTATCTAGGATGAAAGGTAATTTTCGGAAAAGGTAAAATCATGACTCTTCTGCACCTATAAAATAAACGATAAAGATTTTATGTAATCCTCTAATTAACGAGAGAGCCAGAAAAGAGGGGAAAATGGAGACTCTGTACCCCTACAATTAGACTGGCCCCTGGGCATCCCAGCGGTTGGTTATGACCCACATTAACATGACTGTGCGAATGATTCCTCTGTCTTCATTTGTATGACTTTTATATTCCCACAACAACAGGACAAATGGTTTGCTTGTTCATTATAAGAATGTTCTTCAAAACCCATCCTAAGGGCTAGGGTTATGGCTCAGTGGTAGAATGCTTGCCTAGCATGCTTGGGGCACTGAGTTTGATCCTCAACACCACATAAATGTAAATTGGGTCCACTTAAAACTAAAAAATAAATATAAAAAAAACCCTTCCTAAGGTTCTTTTACTTTAAAATTAATTGATGAATTAATTTCTTTTAATTTGTTATAGATGACAGCACAATGCATGTTGATTCATAGTACACATATGGAGCACAATTTTTCATTTCTCTGGTTGTACACAAAGTCACACTATTTGTGTCTTCATACCTGCACCTAGGGTAACATGTCCGTCCCATTCCACCGTCTTTCCTACCCCCCCATCCCCCACCCCAGCTCTGCCCTATCTGAAGTTCCTCCTTTCCTCCCATGTTCCACCCCCCACTGCCATTATGGATCAGCATCCACTTATCAGAGAAAACATTCGACCTTCCTTTGCCTCTCAATGCTCACCTTGCTGCTTCCACAAGTCCTGGAGTGTTGTGTCATCATCTGTACCCGATGCTAATGCAGCCTCTGAAAGACCTACCTTCAACCAAACTTGCAAATCTCGGTCAATTCTGGCCTCCACTTTCTTCCTCCAAGACCCTGCAAAGCTTTGCAAGGCTGTGCTTGGTCTTCATGCGGGGAGTGTTAAGCTCAGCTCTGACCTAATGAGAGGTTGTCTTGGTGACATCTGGGGAGCTGATTTTGGAGCTCCACCAAGATCCAGGAGACTGTGACGTCACTGCCATGGCCAAAGCCCTCCATTGGGAATCAGTGCTGCTCACGGGCCAACAGTGATTGGGGGCAGAAAGAAAAAAGTAATTCTTTCTTTCACCCTTCGGTGATTTCCTAGGTGGGGCTCCCTGTAACCAAAGATAGATTAATGAGAGAAAAACAAACAAAAACTTAATAGCATGTTGACCTTCTGCTCATGGAGAGATAACCCATGAGTAATCCCTAAGAGAGATCTCAGGGAGTTGGCTTAGACTGCAGGTGTAAATACCACCTTCCGAAACAAAGGAGGGCGTGGGCAGGTTAAAATGAGATGAAGATGGCCAGGAAAAGCATCAGGAAACTCAGGTTAGGTTTGTTCTGCAGTTTTAAGCTGAAACTTCCCCCACTGATGAGAATCTGGGGGTTCGGGTGCCCCCTGCCTGGTGCAGGCAGGAAGACAACTTTCAAATCGAAATTTCATTTATAGATGAAATTTCTCTTGTCAAAGAGTCATTTTTCAGAGCTTCTCCTGTGTTTGCAGTTTCTGAAAATCAGATCTCAAAATAATCCCTGTGCTAGAGGCATATTTTGAAGGGACAAAGTCTGGTCTCCCAGGGTCGTATTGTAGGGTGATGTGTCCTGAACCCCATGAGAGTGTAAGTACATCGAACATTGGTTTGGAAATTTGATTTCTTTCATTGAGCTCCTGGATGCCAAGTTTTTTTTTTCCAGGATTAAGAAACCCTCCTTAAGGTTCCAATTTAAAAAAAAAATAAAATAAAAAGCATATCCTTGGTGGAAATCTGTTTTGTTACTGGCACTGCTGTGTGTCTCTCTGTCCGTGCCATTTATTCTGTTGTCCATCAGAAAGAGGAAATTCACAAGGAAGAGGGTGGGAGTTGGCTCTGAAATAAGCCCTTTCCTAAACTGCCCCCCCCCCACCGTCAGGAAATTCTGTTCACAAAAGGAACAAACTTCAAACCTCCAGTGGTCCTCACGCCTTAATTGTCATGATAGAAGCATCCAAAAGAATTCAGGTTCCAGAATGTCTTTTCAAAGACATTCCTTGGCCAAGGCAAAATAAAAAAAAAACAACTTTGAACTCTCTGTTAGATCCCCCTAAATCACAATTTGAACCTAATAGAAGCCTTTATCCCACTCCCCTTCCCCAGACCTAGGCTCCTCTGCATCCTTCTGGCCCTGTGGGTCCCTCTGATTTCCTCCGCATCCCTCCTGGCCCCCCATCCCTGGAACCTCTGTTGTCTCTTAAAGTTAAATTTCCTTCAGGGTAGACAAGACCCCTTCTGTTGGTTTTGAAAGGGTAAAGTTTCTAAGCTGGAAGGCTTGAATTAAAATGTAAAAAATTAGGTATTATTGAGTTCCTCTGTTACACCCAGATTCCTGAGATAGTTAAGACAATTCCCTACTGACCATTTAGC